TAGAAAATTTGTACTCCGCTACCAGGATTTGTTTTGCAATTTCCAACACTGGTACCACTTCCCAGCCCAACAGCTGAACGAACGGGAAATAGTATTTGCGCCTGTATAACCAGACCGTAACGATGGGAAGAGGGAATAAATCAACAGACGGAAGCTGTGCAAAGCCATTTATTTTCTTTCTTGTGTATATTTTAGGAAGAGTGAGGGAAATAATCAAGCGATAATAATCACTACAGGATACGCAGTGATGCGAAATTTCTTTAAGTGGTGATATGTAAGGTACAACAAACGCACAAAACAACAAACGTGAGCAAACCCTGTTTCAAACAAACCTGCATAGTGCGCCGATGCATCGTGGCCAGGTACATATTGGCCTCCATGAAGACCCGGCGCCGAGGCAGGGGCTCAGGGGCGACTCCACACACCATGGATTGAGGCCTCTCGCACCGGCACACCGGAATTGGTGTCAGTGGAAAACCATCCGAGGACTGTAACAGAAAAAGAGAAGCTAAATTAATGAAAACAGAAAAGCAAACGAACAAAGACGGGTCTCAGAGTGTGAACATAGTTGCAACATAGACTCTCAGTTTTCGCATGCAGATAACAATCGTTAAATAGCCGGAGTTGAAGCCACTGCACCGCTGAACAGATTCACCGAAAGATCGGTTAGCCAGTCGCCTTCTAGGACAGGCTCCAAGGCCCGCTTTACCTCCAGGGCATGATAGGGGTTGGCAGCAGCGCGTCGACCGTCCGTGGCGGGAGCAGCAGCGCGCCGACCGTCCGTGGCGAGAGCAGCAGGGCGCTGACCGGCCGTGGCGGGAACGGCAGGGCGCTGACCGGCCGTGGCGGGAGCAGCAGGGCGCGGACCGGCCGTGGCGGGAGCAGCAGGGCGCTGACAGGCCGTGGCGGGAGAAGCAGCGCGCCGAGCGTCCGTGGCGAGAGCAGCAGCGCGCCAGCCTTCCGTGGCGGGAGCAGCATCCAGCTGGCCGGCCACGGCGGGAGCAGCAGCGCGCCACTCGTCCGTGGCGGAGCAGCAGGGCGCTGACCGGCCGTGGTGGGAGCAGCAGGGCGCGGACCGGCCGTGGCGGGAGCAGCAGGGCGCTGACAGGCCGTGGCGGGAGCAGCAGCGCGCCGAGCGTCCGTGGCGGGAGCAGCATCCAGCTGGCCGGCCGCGGCGGGAGTAGCAGCGCGCCACTCGTCCGTGGCGGGAGCAGCAGGGTGGGAGCAGCAGGGCGCGGACCGGCCGTGGCGGGAGCAGCGGGGCGTTGACCGGCTGTGGCAGGAGCAGCAGAGCGCTTACCGGTGGCTGGGCCCTCGGTGGCGGATGGGGCTGCGCTATTCACATCCGAGAGGAGATGTTTGGCGGTGGTACACGGCGTCGTCTTGAAGGAGAAGCCACGCTTTGTGCGCTTCTGTCGCCAACTCTCTTCTGCGTCGGCGAAGTCCGGGGCCAGTTTCCTTTTCCGTCGTGGAGGGTTGGTTGGGATCAGGTCCTGTTTTCTTTGCGCGGTCAGGTTGCTGATCAAGAGCTCAACCAGCGCGCCCGGCGCGGGCTTACGCTTTTTGACCATGAGGCTGTTCTTCAGCGTGAGGAACCAGCTCTCAACGCATGCGTTGCTTGCGTTTCCTTGCGCTAGCGACGCCCACAGCTGAGCAAGGGGCATAAAGATGCTGCAGAGATGCTCGAGTAGTTCCGGACAGAAGCACGTATTGGTACCGCCACTATCACCAGCGCCAAGGAGTTCAGCCTCCACATTGCGCCGAAGAGCAGTGAAATGGCGGCCTGGCTCTGTGCTCTCCCTGTAGGATCGCCACCTCTCGTCCACCTTCGTGGGTTCCGGGTCTATGTCCTGGGGCGTCTCATTGTCTTCTTTTAGCTCCAACTGTGGTTTTGATGTAGAGAGGAGGCGGCACGTGTCGCAAAAAGCCGATTCCAGCTCTGGGACGCTCTTTGATCGCTGCATGCGTCCAAACAGCCACATCACAGCCCGTCTCCCGGCGACTTTGCGCTTACCGAGGTGGTTCACAGCGGACCGGGCCACGTCATGCGCTATGTGGCAGGTGCACAGCGAGATCGTGACATTTAACACTACCCCGATTCGCGCTGCTACCCACGCATCGTCTATGTAGGCCGGAAGAGTCTTGCCGGCGAGGGCCCTACTGATCGCGTGGAGCAGGGCCCACGACAGGTCTGTCACAACCCTGGGGGGCAGCAGCTGCCGGGACCCTCCTGCACATCGTCGGAAGTCATGGGCCAGCTGCTGCAGAAAAAAACGTCAGGCTTGGCGTGGTGTGCGTCTCAGATAGCATGTGGGCGATCGGGTAAGCACAACCCTCAGAAGGAGAGGCCAGCACGGAGTAGAGGTAGGGCCTGGTGCTGCCCACCTGGCAACTGACCGCTCCAGTCACGTCCATATGAAAAGAACATACGTCTTTGGCGTACTTCTTCATGGTGTCTTCGCTATACACGTGCACCATAAGGGGTGAATCGGCCAGCTGATGGACGTAGCCTCTCAGAACTGTGCTGTGGATGTCCATGAGTGCAGACATTTCTTTGATGATGTTAAGGTCTTCTGCCGGCTTCGCCGAGTAGCGTTCACCGGCTCGCGCCTCTGCTGCTGCTTTCCTCAGAACCTCTTTGCTAGGCACAGACGAGACGTTGCCGTGCCTCAGAGCCGTTTCTGCACCCGTCGCCAAAGCGTTTGTGTGGCAGTGGTAAGGCCCGGTCGCCACCACCCGTCTTGCCGTCGAAACTCGCTGGTCGCCGGCCAAGCGTCGGCTGTGGCTTCCTCCCACATGACGTGCGGATCCTTTCTCTTGGACCAGCAGCAGCACGTCGCCTGACTCCACCTTGTCCTGGAATGTGATGTTAAACACCTTAGGACAGAACAGAAACTTGCACGATGCCGAAGCTACAAAAACTGAACCAGTCACCTTCCTGGAAGCAGGCTTTTTCAAATACCCACGTTTAAAGCACAGCACGCAGGGCTGTTTCGCGGATGACGCATACGCCTCGTAGATGATGTCCGTCCAGCCTGAGGCGAGGTTGCAAGAATTTCGATTTCCATCCGTCATTCGGGTCCACTGGCTAGCTGACAGGCGAAGGCTGTACTGCTTGCAGGATGGTGCTCGTGACTCGTCGGGGCCAGGAGATGGTGGCGGCGAACCCCTACCAGGAGATGGCATATGCTTTCATTTTATATGCGACTCGGCCTATGTTTGCCGTTAAGTAAGTGCAAAACCCCGTTATATCTGTTTCCTAAGGGGTTTTGACCCCTTGAATATCAATGCCCCATAGGGTTTCTTCAGCCGGATTAATACGTATCTGTCGATGGTTCGAAGACGCAACTTTGAAGAAAATCGTAGGGGCCGCCTCAAAGACGTAATTTTTCGATCGTCTATAACTTTCCCCCTAGACCAGATACGCGAATCTCGACTCCACGTTTGCATTTGTGTTCTCGCGTGTTGTCATTTGATATGCGACTCGGCCTATGTTTGCCGTTAAGTAAGTGCAAAACTCCGTTATATATAGGTTTCCTAAGCGTTTTTGACCCCCTGAATATTAATGCCCCGTAGGGTTTCTTCAGCCGGATTGATACGTATCTGTCGATGGTTCGATGACACAATTTTGAAGAAAATCGTAGGGGCCGCCCCATAGACATGATTTTTTAGATCGTCTATAACTTTCCCCTAGACAAGATAGGGGTTTTGGGTTTGCACGTCTGCATTTGGGATGCCACGTGCTTTCATTTGACATGCAACTTGGCCTATGTTTGCCGTTAAGTAAGTGCAAAGCCCCGTTATATATGTTTCCTAAGGGTTTTTGACCCCTTGAATATCAATGCCCCATAGGGTTTCTTCAGCCGGATTGATACGTATCTGTCGATGGTTCGATGACGCAACTTTGAAGAAAATCGTAGGGGCCGCCTCACAGACACAATTTTTTTTCGATCGTCTATAACTTTTCCCCTAGACCAGATACGCGAATCTCGATTCCACGTTTGCATTTGGGTTCTCGCGTGTTTTCATTTGATATGCGACTCGGCCTATGTTTGCCGTTAAGTAAGTGCAAAACTCAATTATATATGTTTCCTAGGGTTTTTTGACTCCCTGAATATTAATGCCCCGTAGGGCTTCTTCAGCCATATTGATACGTATCTGTCGATGGTTCGATGACGCAATTTTGAAGAAAATCGTAGGGGCCGTCCCATAGACATGATTTTTTGGATTGTCTATAGCTTTCCCCTAGACAAGATAGGGGTTTTGGGTTTGCACGTCTGCATCTGGGATGCCACGTGCTTTCATTTGACATGTAACTCGGCCTATGTTTGCCGTTAAGGAAGTGCAAAACCCCGTTATATATGTTTCCTAGGGTTTTTTGACCCCTGAATGTCAATGCCCCATAGGTTTTCTTCAGCCGGATTGATGCGTATCTGTCGATGGTTCAATGACGTAATTTTGAAGAAAACCGTCGGGGCCACCCCATAGACATGATTTTTCGGATCGTCTATAGCTTTTCCCCTAGACAAGGTAGGTGATTTTTCTGTGCAGTGTTGTCTCTGGCCGAAAGAGAGCTTTCAGGTGACATTTCGCCAGTCCATGATTTCCTTATCCTATGGGAGATATTGGCCCGTAAAGGGAATTCCCTACATTTGTGCTGCCAAATCTTGGCTGGGCTGAATCTGGGCTGAATGTGGGCTAACTTCCGCTACATGAATCTGAGCTGAATGTGGGCTAACTTCCGCTACATAAAATTCTCCGGGATCCTTCCTCGCTATGGAAAGCTGTCTGGGATAATTTTTCGTGTCGGAACTATCGAACACGATTGCGGAAATTTTTCAACATTCCGGATAATTTCCCAATATTATTTGCCGGCCGAACGCGCCCTAGAACTCCCAGGTTTATCTTGAGACATTTCGTCAGGAAAAGTCTCTAGCGACTTGGAAACAAATATGCGCTGTGCGCGCACAACAAACGCGCGGCGGTCAGTGGCGCGCGGGTTTCCCGCTGTGTGGTGTAGTGGTGGGGAGGGTACGGTGGTGTTGCGAAGGTATATATATGGGATTCGCTGTGTATTTTCGGCGTTAGATGTCATTTATGTGCATGGAAGCGGGACTTAAGTAACCTCTTTAATACAAATGGTAGGACTGTGAAAGTCACAGGACACCTTACTAAGTTTTAGCGACGAAGAAGTGCTGCAACCAGCGGTTGACATAGGCTCCTTAGATTTAACTTGCATTGTCATCTGTGGTTATTGTGAAGGGACGAGCGGTATCAAAGGTTGAGTGCAGGGTATTTGTCTGTACAAAGCTGTGCAAAATTTTCCCTGGCTAGACATTTTGAAGAGCCTAACAATGGGAAATTCATCAAGTTCATCTGCCAAAGAAAAGGATGCTCCTGCGATGGACAAACAATCAAGCAATTGCTCTAATATAGTGACAGGGACAGTACCAACATCTGCAGCAATGAAGTTTCCCATGCCTGATATAGAAACTCTAGAAGACAAATTCAGCAAAGTCCTGGTAAGTCCAATATGCACTATTCTACATGACAAGCCCATGGCTGTTCGGTAGAAAGGCCAAGCTCATCAGCAGGTATTCACACCTTAATTTCAAAGCTTGTGTGGGGTATGGTATACATTGGTGCCTAATGTCAAAACGATACCTGGTACCTAATGGTACCTAATGTACCTAATGGTACCTTGTACATCATTTGTTGTGTTAAAGGCAGAACATATAGTTATAAGACAAGTAGGTGTATGCTCTTATCTTCAAATTTTGATAATTATGATGGCAAGCTCCCGAGTGCCTCAAACACGCCACAACCTCGACCCTGAGCGCCATGGCTACATTATGGGTGTGTGGTCACAGCATTACTGCACATCAAAAACCATAAAAATGTACAGGTCCAAGGTAACAATAATGATGCAATGAAATATGTGTCTTATCAAGTGTAGGTAAGTTTATGAAACAGACAGGCCAGAATAGAACAGAATCTAACATAACCTAAACTAGCCTAGCCTAGCCCAGCCTAGCATCGCCTCACCTCACCTCGCCTCATCTGGCCCGGCCTCGCCCTAGCCCTAGCCCAGCATTGGAAATTCAAAAAATTGTCCTGGTAGTGGAGTACAAATTTTTTATAGTGGAGTCCAAAATTATCTAAGTGGTAGGATCATTACAGCCT